TAGTTAAAAAAAATACAATATCAGTATAGCATGGTTAAAAATCCTCTAATTGGCTAATATAAAAATAAATAAAGACAATATAAAAATTGTCCAATCCAATTTTGGATCTTAATTTCACGAGATCAAAATTAAGATCCAAAATTGGATTGGATAATTTTTTATATTGTTTGTATTATTTCTATTCCATGCTTATTAGTATTGTCATTTTATTGTATAATAATTTGATTGTTTGTATAAACTATAAAAAGATAGAATGTACGACTATTTCTTACTAAAAAAATTTTTTTGTATTCAAAACTAAATATGTAAATATGTTCTTCTACTGGAAAAACAATTACAATTAATGAAGTTGAAGGATATAAAACAACAGAGGTTCTGATAAATATTTTATATGACCAAGATATAGGACTTGAAGATCATCATTTTAAAATTATTCATGAAGAAGAGATTGATAGTTTAGCAATCCTTAAATTAAATGTAGACAAACTCATGAAAGTTGGGTTTAAAATGGGACCAGCTAATAAGATCGAGTGATGGATTAGAAATATTAAGAATGCAAAGCAGGGTAAGTAGTATTATGACTGTATTCGAATATTCCAAACCTATATTGCTTTTTCTGCAATAATTTCATTTATTAACATGTGTCTCACTTTGAATAGCTATGACTGCATCAAGTCAGGAGGTGCAAGAATTGAAGGAAAAGATAGCAATGCTACAGAGTGGTAAAAAATATAAGTAGCATAAATATCTCTGACTCTATTACTATTTTCTTGCTTCATTAATTGAGAACTTTGATATATCATTTATACTAACTAATATACTGTTATTATTTTTAGTTACTTTATATTTCCAGTATCTTAAGTCAAAAGTTTTAAGTTGCAGTACCGATAGTTGGAAAGATCTTATTTAGTTACATAGTCATTTGAAAGGAGTATTCAGTTATCTCAAAGGCACTCTGAACCTTTATAAATATATTATTGATAATAGAGAAATAAATATTAGTTTATCAAAAGAGAAATTTATTACTTTCATTAAAATATGCAAATGTTCAGAGAACAATCCAATCAAAATTATTAATTTAAAGAAAGATATAATATCTCAATTATTGGCCGATTGCAAATATTCTGTAACACAATTTCGCATACAGGTATCAAAAGGTTATACTTTGAAATAGTGAAAGGTTTACTAACAGCATCAGAACTTGGAAAGCCTGAGAAGTTTTGTAAGCAACAATAGACAACTGAAGTATTTTGCCATAATAGTCATCCACCAAGTGCTTATAGCTCTATACCTGTTACTCTATATTGCTCAATTTTTGGTTAATTTAAGGATTTCTGTAAGAAAGATCCAGAAAGAGTAGACAATTATTTCATCTATGATTTTTGTTGTGCAATAGCAAAATTTTATAATAGTGAGAATGCTCATCAAATAGTCGCAAATAAGAAGCTATCTGAATATTTTGGTTGCTTCATACAACCAATTGAACTCCCTGCAAATAGAAAAGGTGATAAACCCAGAACTGATAGCACTATAAGCTTTTCTGGTCCTTATACGTATCATGAACTTAATATGGAATACAAGTGTAAGCTCTGTTCTTCTAATGCCTGCCCCTATCTTGAAAACTGTGAATATTATTTAACTTTCTGTATGAAACAAGAAAACCGCTGTTATGTAACTAATTTTCTGTGCTTTTTAGTCATGATTGCAGGTATAGTAAAGGTTTGGCTCAGTATATTTTTGTCAGAATTTATAAATGACTTTAATTGCATTTTAGAGCCTTATTTCTCTGTTTTTAGTATTGTGATTTCAGATAAAGCTATAATTGAACTACTTACTTCATTATATCCTCTTGCTTGGTATAAAGATGATGAAATAAAATTATCAATTTCTAAAACATTTTATGCTCTAAAGAAATCTCTTCAACTTCTCAATCAATACTATACAGAAGTTGATGATAAACTAGCTTGAAAAATCCTCTAAACCTTTAACCCTAAACATTCTTCATTTCCTGAAATGATTATAGATGACAAATATTATAAAGTTCAAATTGAAAAAAATATTATCAATTGTCTTTGGAAAGTTACACTCTCGAACAAGCAAGGAATATATGAGATAGTCTATGTAAAAGCTATTCAAAAATATAAATATTTACTTGATACACATCAGCTCTTAGCAAAAATTAGATATGCTTCAAAAATCCTAGCTACTTTATTTATTCCTGAAAATTGACTTGATTTATATAGAATATTTGAAAAATCATTTAATATTAAGTCATGTCACCAATAATCTTAATGGACGAAATAATTTAAAAAAGCAAATTAAAAGGTGGTTAAGTATATGCATGATTCAGAATATGTATATGGGAACTTGTATGAAGGGAATATTCTATTTTGTTGTCTTAAAAATAATGAATTTGATATAAAATTAATTGATTTTGAATAGTCTAAAAACGTTGGCTCCTCATGTTATTCTTACTTTATAATCATGAAATACAATAGCCAGATGAAGCAAAAGATGGAAAATTAGTAACAAAAGCTCATGATCTTTTCATGCTGAATCAGATGCTTTGAAGAACCAGCTTATTACAAGATTAAATAGAATATTAAAATTTAGTAAGAGTGGATCAATTAAGTTTAGCAATATAACCTAATATTTGTTAATCTAGCATGTAATATTATTAATAAAAAAATAATAATTATATTTGCTGTATTGGAATTTGATTTTTCAATTAATAAAGCCAGCCCTGGTGGCCAATTTTGCATATATAATTGCATTTACTTTTGCATGTATATTTCTCAAAAAATAATATGTATTACAGGCTAGTCCCGAATATTTGTATTTATTTTTCACATATATTAGCATAGAAAATTTGTCATGTATCAGGTTGACAAAGTCAATCAACTTTGTATTTGTTTTTTTATTTCTGTATTAATAAAGTTTATCTTTATATTCACAACATAATATTGAATAATTTACATTCTTGTATAAAATTTTATTGATCATGTCAAGTACTCAATCCAACAATTTATTAAGAGAATTAAATGCCAAGCTCTTAGTTGAGATTTGCGAGCTGAGGAAGAAGGTTGCTGAGAATAAGGTTGAGAAAACAAAACTGAAACAGGAGCTTAAGGCAAGAACCGATGAACTAGAGAAAACTATATTGCATTATTTAGTTGAAATTGACAAACTTAATGCCATAATTGTGGAACTAGAGAAAAATAAGATAGTTATAGCTAAACTCGAGTTCGAAAATGCTAAGTTTAGAGATAGGATCACTAAAGTGGAGCAGAGGCAGATGCTAAGTGATAATATTTTTAAAGTAACTAATTCTTCTAATAATAGCTCATCTTACTTCAATCCACTTACAGATTAGTTATCTATAGAAATAGATACTTTATTATTTAAAGAACTGATACCAGAAGAGTTACTAGAGCTAGCTGTTAATATATTTGTTATGAATCAATATGAAGACATCTTTGGAAGATAAAGAAATAGATGCTTTCTTGAATGGGGTGTATAAGAAAAAGGTTAGTGATAAGATTAGACAACACAATAGAAAGAAAAAACTCCCATATGAATCGGCTAATCAAGAGATATTCTCAATTTTCCAGGATATTTCTTCTATGAAGGATCATGATGATTGGAGCAGTTTGGAAATTTCAGAAAAAATAGAAGCTCTGTCACGAACTTACATGATGATCGACCAAATGAAACCAAAGAACCTGATAAAATTGAGCTCATTAAAAGTTAGTATATAGAACAAGAATTAATAAAGAAATTGCTTAGTAGCAATTCTATTATATTATTAGTTATAATCCCAGAATATTAAATATTTCAAATTACAACACAAAGTTTAGTCAGTTTATTTCATTATGCATTACATTCTAGACATGAAAAAATCTTAGCATGGTATAATTACTTGAATAATTTTAAAAATTGAGTTATTGAAATTAGCTATGAATTAAAAGTTACAAATAAAATTGCTAGAACTTAATTATACAAGAAAATATTAGAGCATCTACCTAGTATTATATCAGAAAACTTGCATATGAAAACTTTAAGAGCTAAAAAAATTTGAATGCTATTTGAGAGGAATAGAGTTGGAATAGATAAAATCAAACAAGTTATCTATAGTATATATGCTATTTCTAGTTTTACTAATAGCCAAATTTAAAATATTATCAAAAGTGTAATTTTAGCAAAATCTTTATTAGAAACCAATATGAAAACTAATGATTAAACTAATACAGAGATAAGTGTCTCAACCACATTCTCTATTTAATCATTTCATACTTCTAATTTGAAAGATAGGATAAATATATTTATTGAATCTCTTTTTACTAATTTAAAAAAATTATTAGATATTGAGGTAAATATATTATTTAATCCAACTCATGATCATGCTTATTTTTATAAAAAAATATTAAAGCAATATTCTAATTTATATCAAGAAGGTAGTAATAAAAATAATAATTATTATGAAATTACTAATAAATCATTATGTCTTAGATTATGATGATAAAAATAGTGTAGAAGATAAATATAAAATTGGATTTTATAATCTTAAATATAAACAGCATGAAATTGAAATTAAGATAATAGTATAAACTCTATCTTCTTGCAATATTTGTACAAAGTTAGAAAGTAAGTGATTACTATATGTACTTATATTTAAACAAAAGCTAATTACTTTTTTTTTTTTTCAAATTTATAAAAAAAAAGACTTTGGCATATTTATTTTTGTTTGCTATTGTTAATTTAAAGAGTTATACAATTATATAAAACTGCAATAAATCACTCCTAACAAGCGCCAAGGGCATGCAACTAATAAAAAAGATGCTGCAACAAGGCAGCAGCACAAATACAAAAGAGAGTCAGGACAATTTAGAGACGCTAGTAATTGGAACACATAATATAAACAGAATCAAAACAAATTTAACAAAATTAGACTTCTTGATAGATTATATAGAAGATAATAAGGTTGATATAATTGGGCTCAGTAAAACAAATATAACAGAAAAAGAAGGGAGATACATAGACAAAAAGTTCAAGAATTTCTAATCCTTCTGGTCCAACACAAAGGAAAACAAAAGCAAAGGCTCCGGAGTAGAGGTGATAATTAGGGAAAAATGGGCAAAGCATGTAGCAAAGACTAGCAGAAGCAGCCCATATATATTAGA